TTCCAGGTGTGGTCTAACCAAGGCAGAATAGAGGGGTAGCATGACTTCCCTAGAGCTAGACACTATGCTCCTATTGATGAAGGCCAAAATCCCTTTGGCTTTATTTGCCACCGCATCACATTGTTGGTTCATGCTTAACTTGTCCACGAGGACTCCAAGATCTTTTCACATGTACTGCTCTTGTGCCATGCGTCCTCCATTGATGTCTGAGGTGGAGTATCCATTTGCCCGTAAAGCCCAGATTAGGTGGTTCAATTTGTCTTGGAGGAGGTGGGGTTTGCATATTCTTTTTGCACGGTCTGCCAGGGCTTTAATTGTGCTTCTTTTTTTGACTTAGATGATGGTTGGAGTTTTTTATGTAGGTATCTATCTGTATGTGTAGGTTTTCTGTAAACTGTGTTGCCCAATTGTTGACCTGGTTTGTGGATGCCTAGGACATCTAGAAATGGCAATTTTCATTCATTTTCTTTTTCCATGGTGAATTGGATGTTTGGGTGGATGCTGTTCAGGAATTACCATGAAAGCCTTCGACAATACAGTAAACCATTCCCCTCCTGTTTTCCTGTTATTCCCCCCACCGTTGTTATGAAATGGGAAGTGGGGAGGAGGAATAACCAGTGAAAATGGGAAAATTGTTTTCCTCCTTCACCTCCCCCCCCCCCATAAAATTTATTAATTTATTAATTTAAAACATTTATATTCTGCCCTTCTCATCCTGCAGCGGACTCAGAGCACAACATATATATGGCAAGCATTCAATGCTGGGACATAAAACCATAAATATATACAAACATTAAAATCACTTATAACCTTTAAAGCCCTAAACGGTTCTGGCCCAGATTACCTGTCAGAACATATCTCCTGTTACAAACCATTATGAAGCTTAAGATCGTCAGAGGGGATCCTGCTCTCGATCCCACCACTCTCGCAAACGTGGTTGGTGGGGACAAGAGACAGGGCCTTCTTGTCTGTGGAACTCCCTCCCTAAGGACATCAGATTAGCCACCTCCCTCCTGTCCTTCAGAAGACAACGGAAGACCTGGCTCTGGGGCCAGGCGTTCGACTAGAGGACAGCGGCAATAGAAAAAGAAATTTTGGAATTTTTACGACATTGGTTTTACGTCTTGGTTTTAATCAGCATGTTTTAATTTATTGTTTTATGAACTTGTGAATGAATTTGTATAATCGTGGCTTGTTCTTGGTCTTGCAGCTCTTCTGATGTCTGAGGTGGAGTATCCATTGGCCTAATGTTTTTAATTATTTTTTTCTGTTTAAACTGTAATCTTTGTTGTTATATGCTGATAGCATCACACAATGCTTATGTGAGTCCCCCTTTGGGGGGAGAAGGGCGGGGTAGAAATGCATAAAATAAATAAATAAATTATACATTATATTCACATTAAAAGTTACTTAAAAACCATCTCAGGACACCATTTTGCCTCATTGCACAGTCCCAAAAGCTTGGTCCCACAGCCTGTCTTCAGGGGCGGCTCAACCCATTACGCAAAGTAAGCATTTGCAGTATAGTTGATTTTGCCCAGGGGCGCTCTTGAGGCGCTCTTGGGGGGAAATAGACCTTGACATATGCAAGTTGTAGTTACTGGGATGTATAGTTCACCTGTAGTCACCGGTATAGTTCACCGGTAGTCTGGCAGGGTAACAAGGTAATGATGACTAGAGTTGGAAAGGACTATGGCAATGCTAAACGGATTGACGGATTTTAGAACACGATGAACGCAGGCTTTAGAGTGGTTTTAGTTGATATTGTATTGTGTTATATTGTACTGTATTAATTGTCTGTTTTTAATCTATTGTGTTATTGTTATTGCATTATATTGTAATTGTGGGCATTGAATTGTGCTGGATGTAAGCCGCCTTGAGTCCCCCCTAGGGGGTGAGAAAGGTGGGGTATAAATGACCGAAATAAATAAATAAATAATACAATCAAAGAGCATTCTGAACTCCACCAATGATGGAATTGAACCAAATATGGCACACAGAACTCCCACGACGAACAGAAAATATATATCAGTGATTGGATGGGGGGGGGGGGGCAGGCCTGTAGCCAGGATTTTGTTTCGGGGGGGATTTTCAGGGGGGTTAGGGAGGGGCTGAGTTTCGGGGGGGGGCTGAGTCTGAGTGAAAGAGGGTCTAGCCTAGCAAACCTTTTGTATCATTACCCCAATACCCCCATGCATATGGGATATATTGAGTATGGTGATCAGATCATGATATGAATAAGCATAACAGTTTAAATAATGCACCAGTAAGGCCTTTTCGCGAACCACCATGAGAATTTCGGGGGGGGGGGCTGAAGCCCCTCAAGCCCCCCCTGGCTACATGCCGGGGGGGGGGGCAAAATACTGTTTGCTTACCTTTGAAAATTACCTAGGGCCACCTCTGCCTGTCTTCACCACCCTTCTGATCTAATATTGCCAGGAAGGGAGTTCAATTACCAGGGGGCAATCACTGAGAAGGCCATGTCTCTCATCCCCGTCAAAATGGACTAACCTTCTCTGTCTAGCGCCCCCTTTTGGCCTCTGCCTGGAAAATGGAACAGCATTTTAAAAAATCTAGATATAGGAGCACCTGTTTCTCTATGCACCTTTAACCCAGTTTAGTTACAAACATGCTAAATCAAATACTGGAGGACAGAAACACATTCTCCTCTCTACAAATCGGCATCATCACTATCATCACACTGATATCGAGTTTTGAAATGGAATGGGCTGCCTTCTTGCCTGTGCACCGACCCAGAGCTGATGCTCAGCAAACCACCTTTTCCTTTTCTGGCACAGATTGTGTCTCCTCGACCCTGATCCAGCTCTGATCCGTCTCTCTCTCAAGTTAAAGGAAAACGGGGTTGTTTTAAAATCCCCTCCTCTTCACAATGCCTCTCCTCGCTCGCCCACCTACCCTTCCTTTTCCCCGCAAAGGGGTGGGGGCCAAAAAATCGATTTCCTATGGAAATAGCCCTCCTGATCATCACAAACAAGAAAGCGCGAACCAATTCCTCCCTTGCACGGCCGAAAGGAGTCGCCGGTAGATGGCGCCCGCGCTCTTCTTTGGCGCGACCTTAACCCTTTCTTCTTCCAACCTGCTTGGCATTCCGTCCCTCTCTTCATTCCCCCCCCCCTTAAAAAAGGACCCTCTCCTATCTCTTCGCCTTTGTTGACAGCGTGGAAAATGGACCCCGAGGCTTCCTTAGGGCTTGGTCTTCTCGAGAAGCGTCCTTGGGATGAGGAGGAGGAGGATGAAGAGGAAGAGAGGGTCTCCTCCAGCAGTCGCAGCCTTGCGGGAAAAGGAGAAATTAGGGAGGGGGAGAGGGGGAGATGCAGCTGTATCTCCCTCTCCCCCTTGGTCATTCCCCTTGATGCTCAGCCTCCAGGAGGAACCCCTCAACTCCAAGCGCAACACATGTGCTTGGGAGGGAAAGGGTGGGAAAGGTGTGTAACAGGAATGGGTGCACTTGGGTCTTCCAAGTGTTTTGGAGTTCAACCCCAGCCATTCCTATCAGCCTCAGGCCCCTTCCTTTTCCCCCTCATCCCCTGCGGAGGGGGAAAAGGAAAGGGCCTGAGGCTGATAGGAATGGCGGGAATTGAACTCCAAAACACTTGGAAGACCCAAGTTCGCCCATGCCTGGTATATGGAGTGTGCATTTTTTTCGCTCGTGCTTTTGCGTGGAGAGAGGTGGCACCCCACGCTCGAGACTACTACAATTTCCCACAGCAAAGCATTTCGTGAGGATGGAGGGAAGAGAGAGAAAAGCTCTCTTAGCAGCGTCGGCTTTGCTTTCCCTCATTCCTCTCCCCCTCCCTTAACATTCCTTCTCTTCTCTGAAAGAGAAAAGCTACTGAATTGGCTCCTCTCCATTTTTCCCCCCTTGGAAAGAGGAGGAAGGAGGAGGTGCTGCTGTGCTGTGGAGATTGGGTTATTGTGAGTTTCCCGGGTTTGCCTAGTAACATTCCAGAAGCATCCCCTCCTGACGTTTCGCCCACATCTGTGGCAGGAATCCTCAGAGCTTGAGGGGGGACTTCTGTGCAGATCCTCTCTTCCCCAATAGAGTTAAGGAGAGAAGGGGCAATTGAGTAGCTTTTCTCTTTCATGGAAGAAAATGAATGTTAAGGGAGGGGGAGAGGGATGAGGGTTGGGGAGAGTGATGAGGGTTAAGGAGAGAAGGGGCGCCACTGCTACTGCTGCTGGAATGTTTGTGAAGACAGTAAGAAGCCAGACCTTGAATCTGCTAGGCCATTAGAGGCTCATCAAGGTGGCCATTTGAAACAGTCACGTCTACCTCAAGCAGGCAAGGGGAGGAACCAATTGAGTAGCTTTTCTCTTTCATGGAAGAGAAGGAATGTTAAGGGAGCGGGAGAGGGATGAGGGTTAAGAAGAGAAGGGGCACCACTGCTGCTGCTGCTGCGGGAATGTCTGTGAAGACAGTAAGAAGCCAGACCTTGAAGCTACTAGGCCATTAAATGCTCATCAAGGTGGCCATTGGAAACATTCACACCTACATCAAGCAGGCAAGGGGTGGGAGGAAAGAGAGGAGCCAATTCAGTAGCTTTTCTCTTTCATGGAAGAGAAGGGATGTTAAGGGAGGGGGAGAGGGATGAGGGAAAGCAAAGCCGACGCTGTTAAGGGAGCTTTTCTCTCTCTCTCTCTCTCTCTCTCTTCCCCCCACCCTTACAAAATGCTGGACATTCCACAGATATATAAACCCAATTTTTCCTAGTTTCCAACAGACCTCACAACCTCTGAGGATGCCTGCCATAGATGCAGGTGAAACGTCAGGAACATGGCCATACAGCCCGGGAAACTCACAACAACCCATGAAAGCCTTCGACAACACATTATGGGAAGACTCTTTCTCCTTTAGTAAGAAAAGAAAGAAAACACTTCCTCCATTCCTTTCCTCACTGCCAAGGAGGGAGATAGAAAGAGGAAGGGGGGGAGAGAGGGGGGGGGGAGAGAGAGAGAGAGAGAGAGAGAGAGCCGTGTTGGGTGCCAGAGTCCGTCCAGAGCCATTCTCAACAGCGCCGCTTTGCTAAGAGGAATATTGTCCTCCTCTCGTTCTGTTTGGGGTGCAGAGTTGGGCACCAGAGTCCGTCCAGAGCCATTCTCAACGGCGCCTCTTTGCTGAGAGGAGTATTTCCCTCATTGACACCATATTTTGGGGTTTGTTTAGTGCACTCTTGGATACCCCAAGGTGTCTTCTCTGAGGAGAGAAGAAGAAGCAGCAGCAGCCATCCCGAGCCATTCCCAACGGCGTCGCTGCTCCTGATGGGAATCCTCCCCTTAGAGATCCCTTTGGATAGGCTTTCTAAGGGGGTGCCACTCCGTCAAGGCGCTGTGGTGGCCCCAAGGCAATGCCAGCGCTTCTACAGGAAGGAGGGCCGTTAAAGCGAGAGCGCAGGTCCCTTTTCTGCGTGTGAGCGCGTCGACACGCGTGTCTCTCTCTCTCTTTGCCCCCGTCGGGGAGCGCGATGCTGGAGTCCTCCTCCTCCTCCTCCTTCTTCTCCTCCTCCGCGTCAAGGTTGCTGGGGTGGGATCCCAGGAAGGCTCTCCACGCCGAGCTGTGACACACACACACTCACGCGCGCACACATACACACAACCCACGCATCGCACCAACACACACACACACACACACACACAGAGCTCGGCGCCAAGTCCTCTCCGTCTCAAAGAAAGAAGGATAGGAAGGAGGCGAAAAGGAAGACGAGGAAGAAGAGAAGAGGAAGAAGAAGCAGGAGGGAGGAGAGGAAAGGAAAGGAAGAGGAGGGGGAGGTTTGGGCAAGGCAGAAAGGGAGCCCGACGCGCGTTAACGGCGGCGAGGAGGAGGAGGGGGCACGCTCCACTCCCGGCCGCTCTCCCGCTTGCTTTTCCCTCTCCCTCCGAGGAGAGAGAGAGAGAGAGAAAGAGAGAGAGAGAAAGAGAGGCAGCAGCACAAGATGCAACGGATCTGCTGCTACTGCAAAGGAGCCACCTGGCCCAGGGAAGCCGCCACCACCGCCGCCGCCTCTTCCTCTTCTTCTTCCTCTTCCTCCTCCGATCTGGGGCAAAGGGGATGTGTGAGACGCCAACGCCAACGCCGCCCCCATTGCCCGGACTTCTTGGGTCTCATCTTGGGCAAGATCATGGGCATGCCGAGTGGATTTACCTTGGGGAACCTCGTCTTTTTCTGGATGCTGTCCTGCGTGAAAGGTAAGGGAGCAAGAGGGGAGGGGAGGGAGGAGAGGGAGGAGAGGGAGGGGGGCCAATTGGGGAGAAGGAGGGAAAAAGGAAAGAGGGGGTCTTGCGTCCTATCCCTTGCCCCCCCTTTTCGCCCCATCACCGCCCCGAAAAGGGAGGAGGGAAAGGAAAAAACAGAGACAGGGGATGTTTTACCCCAAGGGAGGAGGGTGTGTAATGTGTATGGATGGGAGTGGGAGCTTTTGTCCTTCCTCAAGGTTTCCTTCCCCCTTCCTTTGAATCCTCGGAAATAAAACTCTTGGTTTTGGGGAGATCTAGACTGTGGGTGCTTTCTGAAACCAAGGAGAAAGAAAAGGGAAAGGGGAGGGAAAGAAGGATGTGTGTTTGTGTGTGTGATGTGTTTTAATGCCCAGCTCCCTCGCCTGCGATAGGAAATGCAATTTGCTTGCCAAGCCTGGCGTTCAATGCAGTTGAGTGAAAACGGGCGCCCCATAAATATTCTTGCAGCAGCTCCAACCCGAGACGTGAGTTGGGTCCCACAGTCTCCTCCACGGAAGGATATTCCGAGACCATTGCCGCTGGAGGATGCCTCTGCCTCTCACCTTCCCTTCCACCTTTTTTGCAATTTCTTTTTCCACCCAGTGGTTGTGATCTTTGGGGCGCAAGGCTCTACAGGGTGCAAGGAATGGCTTGAGGCTCTTGGGGGGCATTTTTCTCCCCTGAATCCCCCCTTCTAGACAGGCAGACCGAGCTCTGCTTGCAACACACACACACATGCACACACCGCAAATGTGTCGCTATTTGCATCGAAGGACTTTCCCTCCCTCTCTTTCTCTTGGAAGAGAAAAAAAATGGAATAGCAATAAATATTCCCTTCCTAAGTTATGGAGCGGTGGAGTGGGAAGAGAAGCACTTGAGCCAGGCACAATTGTGGGATTTGAAGGACGCAGTTGGTATTCTTTCCCCATTTATCTTTTTTTTAAGCCTCTCAGATGGTATGAGCTGTCACTGAGAGAGCAAAGATCTTCCCCCTCCTTTCCTGACTGAATGAATTGGGGAGCGGGGCTGCCAGAGGATCCTTAAGGCAGCTTTTGGAAAGGATGGATGGATGGTTGGTCAGATGCGAGGAGGGCGGATGGGTTGGCATTCCATACATTGGATTGAAATGAATGGATTCCTTGATGGAGGTCTACTTTCTACTTGAGGGAATCCTAGTATAGTCAGAGTGCCTATATATTCTTGAGGATCCCTGGCAAAAGAGGTTCTGTCTTTCCTGCCCCCTCCCCTCCTCTCTCCTTTGCCCCCCCCCCAAAGAAACTGATGAAGGAAGGAGAGAGACGAGGCTTCTGGGAGTTTGAAGAATTCTGAGTTTGGAGTCCTCCATTCCCACTGGACTGTTTGGCATTTTTCTTCTGAAAGGGAGCTTGCTTTTTCCTCTTCTCGCTGCCCCCCCCCCCTTTGCAATGGAGCTGAGTCTTTTTTATGAAACACTTGATTGTCTTGCTTTGCAGCTGGTTGCTTTGCATGGTGGGAGGGGGGAAGGACCAGGATCATTCAGGGTTGCCTAGGGCTGATGATACTGGCAGAGAAAAAAGGGGGGAGGATTTACCTCAACACCCCCCCCCCCCCATCTTTTAGCCCAAGTGGAGGGGACATGCCTGGAATTTTAATGTACCTTCTAATTACAGAAAGCTTGTCTGGCTTTGTAGCTGTTGACGCAATCTGCCTCCCTGTCATCCTTTGCCCAATTTTTTCAGGGAAATGATTCAGCGAAGAGATCCAGGGACCGTTTATTCTCAGCCACACTCATGTATGTGTGCACATGGAGGTGTGCAAGGCAGCTTTTTAAAAATAGGACAGAACTCATTAATCGACATCCTTGAGTCTCTTTCCATCTCCTTTCCAATTCCCTCTGGATGATTTCCTTGCTTAGCTAACATAAGACAGAGCTATGTGGTCTTTCTGGGTGTGCGGGTCCGGGGGAATATACATAAATACGGTGCCTTCAGAAAATATATTCTGATTAAAAAGGATGAAATTGGACCAGTAAAGTAGCAATGAGGAGAATGGAAGGAACCTGTCTTCATAACTAAGGGTCAAGTGGAGGCAGTCTTTTACAGTCATTCAAGGCACCAGTGAATTTACCGTCTCTTTAAGACACATACACAGCTCCTATGACAGGAGAGAGTGACTGGTTGGAAGAGTGGTTTCCAAACACCTGTTGAAGCAAAAGGGGAGATGGAAAAATAGAAGAAAGTGCTACAGATAAAATATTGTTGTCTTACGTATGGGTGGTCAACATCTGGTGATTGTAACATCAAGCGATGGTTGACTGATATGGGCAGAAGCCATCATGAATTAGATAGCACAGGCAGAACTTCCATGTCACTCAGTGCTGCCCCAAACACAATCACTCTACCTAAAGCACCGAGTTCCCCTCACACATTAAATTGTAGCTTTTAAGAAATCCAACAATACACTCAAACAAGTGGACTGTCCAGGTGGAGCCATACATAATACTATGGTAGCAGAAAGAAGACTTGGGGAAATAGCTCTGGAAATAAAGAGAACCAAAGAGGAAAGGAAATATTACTTGTTGCCAATAGGAAATGGGGGACTTGGAGATGGTTCCTATAATATTTCAAAAGAAATTGGAAGAAATGTGGTGGGAGTGAGAGAGGAGATACTAAGGCTGGATCTACACTGCTATATAATAAAGATTAACTGAATATGGATTAACTGAACTGGATTACATGGCAGTGTAGACTCATATTATCCAGTTCTATGCAGTTAATCCACATTCTCAAACAGAGTTATATGGAAGTATAGATCCATCCTACCAGTGATGGACACAAGCAATGAGCTGTTCCTATAAGAATTCACATTTTACTGCTGGTACTACTATAACCTAAATACCCTAAAGACATCAACCCCTGTTTGATATGGAAGTTTGATGGGGTCAGCACTGGTTGGAACATAAATGGGAGACTGCTAGTGCAAATCAGGGGTTGTAGGCTGTATTTCAGAGAAAAGACCTGGAAACCCATCACATGAGTATTCCTTGCCCAAGAAAACCTTGTGAAATTCATGGTGTCGCTATTAGTCAGCAGTTGAACACATATGCATACAATGCTAGTACTACTAGTAGCAGTAGCAGCAACTGCTACTACCACAACAGTTTAAAATGTATGCAAGAGAATCCTAAACATACACCCTCAGGTCCAATTGAGTTCACTGATATTCATTTCCTAATAAGTATGAACAGGATTGCAGTATTAATTGGATCAGCATTATAGGCAACATATGAATCATGGGCTCACAGATGATTGGCTAGGAGAAAGTCACATGTCAATTTGGCATAGGTTTGTTGCCCAAGAAAGTTTTTTGTCAAATTTGTGGTGGTGGCATTAGTAGAAAGGAAGACTGATTGGTTAAATAGTGAAGGGGGGGGGGGCGTTAAATAGCAGGGTTAACATGTTTTAAATAAAACTTTCTGATTGCTGTTGCCAACAGAAGATTGAGTAGGGGGAATGTGTGGCCTTTCAGATGTTTGACTTCAGCTCTCAACAGACACAGAGAGATAATGGTAGATGCACTTCAAGTTGCATCTTTAACTCTGTCAAGGACAGAGTGGTCTTGTTTTAAGACAGTGGGTTGGTGTCTTAGCATTCTTAGTCTTTCGGAGACTAAGTGGATATGGGTTCCCCTACCAACAATTCATGAGAATTGCAAATTTGATGTAGGTGCTTAGAATTCTAGATTAGAAATTTCTAGCCCCTGAATTTACATAGAAATTACTATTGAAACAATTCAATATTATAAACCATTATTTTAATAGTTGCTATCCTAGAGCTACAATAGAGTTGTTTTCTGTTGTTCTAAAACATGGGTGAGCAGAGTGTGTTTTGTAGGCCCTATATAGCCCCTAGACTTCTTGGTGCAGCCTATGGGACATCCCAAAACCTATGCAAAGTTTTCAAATATTTATTTTTAGAGTGTGCTGATTATGGGGTGATTTTTTTGTTCCTAAGTGGTTCCAGATCTCCCATTTCTTCCTGAGTAGCCCCATAACTTCTGGGGCTCCCAAACCAGACAAAAAGAAGAAAAGAAAAGAAAAAAATGACCAAAATGGCAGCCAGAAGTGACATCACAACACTTCAGATATGCTGAAATACATTGTTGTGTCTAGCCAACCAGGCACAGAAGGGGAAGATAGCCATGGGGCACAGATCACTCTAGATTTGGGTGATGGTATTTCAAGGAAGCAGATTTCAGTTTTAGTTTCTAAACACAAAGAGAAATGTTCTAACTGTTCAACATCTAGTTGATTTTGGAAGAAAATCCATTGGCATGCGGTCGACCAGTGGTTCTCAACCTGTGGGTCCCCAGGTGTTTTGGCCTACACTTTCCAGAAATCCCAGCCAGTTTACCAGCTGTTAGGATTTCTGGGAGTTGAAGGCCAAAACATCTGGGGACCCACAGGTTGAGAACCATTGTGGTAGACTCATCTTCTCTCAATTTTTAAAAGAAAAAGTTCAAGATTGCTTTTTTGGGATGCCATAGTAGTTGCAATATTCCAACATGAGGTAGGGATTCAGTGTGGATGACATCCCAGACTCCAATCAACTCTAGAACTATAAGGTTCTCTGATTATGGTAATTGTGTTGTATATGCATCTTGTGACCTTTTTGATGTCATCCAATATGTTCTTCCTGAAAGTTATTGGATTCTCTTCCAGTTGTCGTTTTGAAAATCAACGTGTTCCCTTTTGTTGCCTTCTAAATTGTACCTAGGAAATCAGCTTGCATTTACTAGGATTGCTGGTGTACCCATAAAAGTGTTGGTTAAACATGATTATTGGAACATGTGGTTCGTTCACTTCAGCATTGCCTATATTTCTAGTGTTTGCTTTACAGCCTTCATGATTCTGGGAAAAAAGATCTTTTACAAACTAGATTTATGTTCTTATTATGTCAGGAAAATATCCAGTTATAGCACTTCATGCATTTTAA